CCTAAGTTCAAGCCTCAGAACCAACACAACCAAACTAAAATAAAAACTTGTACAAAACCAGGTGCCAGTGACTCATGCTTACAACAGGAGCTATTTGGTAGGTAGCTATTTCTGCCAACCTGGGCAGAAAAGTTTGAGAGACTCCAGCTCCAACTGACTAGAAACAAAGCTGGGCTGGAGGGCTGGCTCAAGGAGTAGAGCACCAGCTGTGAGTGAGCAAGCTGAGCAAGAGAAGGAGGCTCTTGGTTCAAATCCTGAAACTGGCAAAAAATATTACTGCTAATATTAATAACCACGGAAAAATAAAAGAGGGCTGGAGGTCTGGCTTAGTGGTAGAATGCCTACCTACCAATCACAAGGCCTTAAGTTCAAATCCCAGTACAGCCAAAGGAGGAGAAGAAGGAGAGGAGGAGGAAGAAGAGGAGGAGGAGGAGGAGGAAGAGGAGGAGGAGGAGGAGGAGGAGGCGGCGGCGGCAGTGGTGGCAAGCAACAAGTCAGAGGAGCAGTCATCCTGCCATAGCTGTCCTTCAAACATTCTAGTAAAACATACTCTGGGTTTCCATCACCTAAAACAAATCCCTTTCTTGTTTCTAGCAACAGAAGTCTCTTGTTCCCTGTCACATGATCAGTTCCTCTTGTAAGTAAATATCGTACCTGGCCTGGTATAATGGGCACCTATTCAGAAATTAATTAGTGGCCATCTAAAGCCTTCCAAGCTACAATCAGATGCTAAGCTCCCAGCAATCAGCACTCAAACCCCACGTTCTTTGCAAGTTTCCCTGGTCTTCTGCATGATTACTGTTATTACTGCAATCTAGTCCGAAATTAGCAAATCCTCATCTGTGCCTTTTTTTTTTTTAAATAAGCCAGGCACTAGTGGCTCACACCTATAAACCTGATCTGAGTGAGGATCGTGGGTTAAAGCCAGTGCAGGCAGGAAAGTCTGTAAGACTTTTATCTCCAATTAACCAGCAAAAAGCTGGAAGAGCAGCTGTGGCTCAAGTGGAAAAGTGCCAGCCTTGAGTGAAATAGCTCAGGGACAGAGCTCAGGCCCTAAGTTCAGTGCCAGTACTGGCACTAAATAAGAAAATAGTAAATAAACCAGGCGCTGGTAGCTCATGCCTGTCATCCTAGCTACTAAGAAGGCTGAGATCTGAGGATCCTGGTTCAAAGCCAGCCCAGGCAGGAAAGTCCAGGAGACTCTTATCTCCAATTAACCACCAGAAAACAGGAAGTGGTGCTGTGGCTCAAGTGGTAGAGCACTCATCTTGAGCTGAAGAGCTCAGGGAAAGCTGAGCGCCGATTATACCTGTAATCCTAGCTACTTTGGGGGCTGAGATCTGAGGATTGCAGTTCAAAGCCAGCCCCGGCAGGACAGGCCATGAGACTTTTATCCCCAATAAACCACTCAAAGACCAGAAGTGGTGCTGTGGCTCAACTGGTAGAGTGCTAGCCTTGAGCTGAAGAGCTGAGGGATAGTGCCAGGCCCAGAGTTCAAGCCCCATGACCGACAAAAAAAAAAAAAAAAAAAAGTAAATAAATAAAAATAAAGTCTCAGATTATTATTATTATGTTATTATTATCTCCTATACCGCCCTGAAGTACAATAGCCCAACAGACAAGCTCACTCAGCCAATCTCTCCCTCAACCCTATTTACCTCCATGTAACAACTCTATACAGAAGTATAGAAAAAAAAGGCTTCCTAAGCTTTTACACTCAGGAAAATTCAACCTTTTTCTCTCTGAAAGGATCATTGCCTTTGTGTGTGTGTGTGTGTGTGTGTGTGTGTGTGTGTGTGTGTGTGTGTGTGTGTCGGTGTGGGTGGGTGGGTGGTGGTGGTGGTGGTGGTAGTTCCAGGGGTTTGCAAGCCCCAACCCGTGAAGCACGCTCCAATCCTAGACATTCCAACTGGAAGTTCCGTTCCCCATTTCCCCAGCTGGCTTCCTCCTGTCCCCAGCATGCAGCTCTCCCTCCCCTGTCATCCCAGCCAGGCGTAGCTGCACCCCATCTTCCCAGGGCCTCCTTAGATGACTCTCAACCAAAGCGCATAGGCACCGTCAGATCGGCCCCTGTCTGTCCACCTGGGGCGGAGTGCAGGTGTCTCCTGTCACTGAGCTGGCCGCTCTCTCTGCTCTGTCATTTCTGGCACACAAGGACTTGTTCTCCACCCAGGCTTTCTTCTATCTGCTTATGACGCTCTCCCTGCTGTGTTGGATGTGGTCTCCACCAGCCACATGAGGCGACTGATCTGAAATGGGGCTAGTCCAAAGTGAGATGTTCAAGGAGTGTGAACTTCACAATGGATGTGGAAGGCTGGGTACGGATAGAGAAGATGAAATGCCGGCCTGAAATGTTTATATGGGTGGGGTGGGATTGGATGGGTGGATGGATAGATGGATGGATGGGTAGATGAATAGGTAGATAGATGGGTGGATGGATAGATGGGTGGGTGGATGGATAGGTGGATAGATGGGTGGGTGGATGGATGATGGATGGATAGATAGGTAGATAGATGGGGGGATGGATAGGTAAATGGATGGGTGGATGGAGAGGTGGATGGATAAGTAGATGGATGGGCAGGTTGGTGGGGAAACTCCAGTCACGGACACGCCCTCTGCCGGTCCCTGTCACCCCCAGACGTTTCCTGTGAAGCCTGCCTTCCACTCTGTAACACCACTACGTGGCTGGCTCCGTATCTTCCCAGGCTGAGGGGTGACCTCTATCCTGCAGTTCTAAAAACCCTCCCTGCAAGGTTTCCTTTTCATTATGCTCAGCCACAAAGCCCCTTGCCCGGACTCCAGGAATGACACATGCACTCTCTTTCCTTTCCTCTCCCAAAGTTTTTCTTCCAGAAGGAAGATCTTTCTTTCATCACTCCATATAAACACCAGTTTCTCAGGACTTTGAGCCCTGGAAAGAAAATTATTCCTAGAGTCAAAACTTTTCCCTGCTCCCTCGGTATCTTCATTTAGCTGTGTCCCAATCCTCCCAGGACAGAACACACACACACACACACACACACACACACACACACACACACACACACACCACACACACACACACACACACACACACACACACACACAGAGCCTATTGAAACTTCATTTGTCACTTAGCGCGGTCTGTGGCCCCTCTCCCTCCTCAGCAGTCTGGGTGTTCCCAGGACAGCTCATTCTTGGCTCTATTCTTCTCTTCTCCCCCTCTCAATGCTGCTCTTTTTCTCTGCTTATTCTGCTCTATCAATATCTGGTTTGGCAGCCAATATTCAGTCTCAATTTCAGAAATGAACCCCTTATAGGGATAGGTCAAAATAAGAACAGAGGGGGCCAGAAAGTATCAATAAGCTGCCAGAGGGCCCCCCTCCGAGTTCCCCTGCATCTGGCCCTCTTCCTGACACCCCCAAGTTCATCCTAGCTGTGTCTGCCTCTGCCTCCAAACCCTGCAGCCTCCACTCACCTCTTTGCTGGGCGTCCTGACTGCTCCTTTGCCTTTCATACAACTATCCCGTTCTGAAAATCCCACAGCAGTCCTTCCTGCTGAGCCTGCTTGCTTCCGACCCCCGCCTCTTCTCCTGCGGACATTTTCTCCCATCTCCCGGGCGCTGCTGAGTCCTTAAGAGACACAGCTCTGACTTCAGTCAAAGGTCTTTCCTGATCCAACCAGGTACAGAAAGAAAACAATGGAGAAAGCCCCAAAGCCAAACATGCCCAGAGCTGGAGAGACAGAAGGGGAGACTGCTTCCACGCAGCCCTGGGTGTCTGGAGGCCCCAGGAGGCCCTTGTCTCTTGCACGATTTCAAGGAGAGGCAAAAACCTATCAGGAATTATTGCTGGTCCTCGCTGGGGGCCTGTGGCTCACACTTGTCATCCTAGCGGCTCAGGAAGCTGAGCTCTGAGGCTCAGGATTTGAAGTCAGCCAGGGCAAGAAAGTCCACGAGATTCTTACCTCCAATGAATTACCAAAAGAAAAAGAAAAAAGGGGGGCAAAGCCTTCATGGAGCTGTGGCTCAAGTACTCCAGTGCTAGACTTGAGTCACAAAGCTGGCAGGCCCTGAGTTCAAGCCCCGGGATGGACGTGAACACACCCACAGACAGACAGACAGACAGACAGACAGACAGACAGACAGAGACAGACAGACTGATTGACTGCAACCCTGGCCAGCGCTTGGCCCCTCCCGGCCCCCGCGGCCCGCACTGTGCGCCGTCCAGCGGGGCTGGCTCCGTGCTGGGACCAAGGAAGTTGCGGCTTCCGCACAGCCGGCGGCGGCCCCCCGTGTCCGAAGTGGCGCCCACCCGGAGGGTCGCGGCGCGGGGCTCCCCGGGACTGCCTGGGGAGCAGCCAGCACTTCCGGCTCTAGGAAACCGGAGCGGCCGCGGAGAGGACGGGGAGCTCCGGGCGGACGGTGCGGGCTGCCCCTGGGAGGCAGGACGGGCCCGGGGCTCGGTGGACTCTTCGTGTGGAACCTCAGCCACCATCTGGAGCCCTTGGACCACGCCCAGCTCGGCCGGCCCTTCGCCCCCGGGCCCGCTCTCCCGGGTCGGCGGGGTCGGGCTCTGGGCCCGGCGCTGCCCCGCCCGGCTCCCGCCCCAAGCCGGCTCTTGGCCCCGCGTCCGGAGCCCCTGCCGGCCCTCCGGGCCTCGGAGGTCGATTCGCGGGGCTGAGAGCCGTCCCCGCAGCCCCGCCCCGCGTCCGGCGGGGGTGCCCGGGATCCCGCCCTGGCTGGCGCAGGGGAGGTGACGGGAGCCGGCGGCGAGCGCGGCGCTCGGGCGGCCGGGAGGGGCGGCGCTGATGGGGAGGCTCCGGGACGAGGTGCGGTGCTCGCGAGTGAAGCGGGGCCGGCGGGGCCCCGGCGAGGTCCCGGGCCCGGTGCCCGCGCGCTCCGGGCGGGCCGCGTGCCCCGATCAGCGCCCCCCTCCCCCTTCCCCCGCCGCCGTCCCCGAGCTCCGGACTCCGGTCAGCCCCCGGCCGGCCCCGCGCCCCCCGCGCGCCCCGCACTCACCCGGCAGACTTGGGAAAGTCTCTGCGAAGTGCGGCGGCGGGGGCGGCGCGGGCTCCGCCGCCTTCTCCCGCGCGGGCGGCAGCTCGTCGGCGTCCGGCCCGCCCTCGGGGCGTCGCCCGCCGGACTCGGGGTTGCTCCTGGAGGCGGCGTTGGCGGCGAGCTCCGGGGGCCCGTAGAAGGCGTCGGGCGGCTCGGCGAAGCTGGGCAGCGCGGTGGTCAGCGCCACCATGGAGGGCACCGCCTGGCCCAGCCCCGCGCAGAAGGTGTTGGAGAGGCGGCCGGCGAAGGAGGCGAGCGGGGCGAGCGGCGGGAGGCCGGCGGGCAGCGGCGCGGGCGCCAGCGCGGGCGGCAGCACGAGCGGCCGGTAGGGCACGAACATGGGGTAGCCGGTGTACAGCAGGTGTCCGGAGCGCGGCGGCGGCGGCCCGATCAGGGAGTCGATGGAGAAGGCGGCGCCCGGGCCCCCGCCGCCGGCCCCGGGGCCGCCGCCGCCGCCGCCGCCGGCCCTCTGCATGGCGCGGGGGAGCCGCCGCGGCCGGCCCCGGGGCGCGCCCCGCTCCGCGCCCCGCCGCCGTGCGCCCCGGGCTCGGGCGCCCCGCGCGCGGACCCCGCGCTCGCTCCTGCTGGCGGGCCGGCTGGCGGCGGCGGCGGCGGCGGGGCGCGGGCGGGCGGGCGGGCGGCGGCGGGGCGCGCGCGGGCGGGCGGCGGCGGCGGGGCGCGGGCGGGCGGCGCACTGAGGCTCCGCGCCGCGCCCGCCTCTCATAAGCAGCGAGGGGGCGGGCGGGGGTGTCGCCCTCCGGACTCATCCATCTTCCTCAAATTACGCTTGGCTTCCTCCCTCCCGCCGCCCGCCGCCCCGCGCCCTCCGCGCCGCCGGTTCCCAGCGCCCGGCCTCGGCCCGCCCGGGACCCCGCCCGCCCCCGCCGCCCAACCAACTATTATTAATGGAGATTGATGAGGCCGGACGCCGCTTTGTGGAAGTTTGCGCCCCGCCAGGAGGCGCCCGGCAGCTGCCCGCCCGGCCCCCCGCCCCGCCCGGCCCCGCGCGCCGCCCGCCCAGCCCGGGCTCGGCCCGGCTCGGAGCGCGCTCCGGAGGCGGCCCGGCTCCGGTCCGGCGGCGGGGGCCCGGGGGGGCGGCAGGCAGGACCCGGTGCCCAGCTCCCCGTCGGACCCCCGCGTGCCTCCCCGCCCGCCGCCCGACGTGGCGGCCCCGGGAGAAGCCGGCGTGGGGACGGGCGGCTCGCGCGGCGGGGCGGGGCGGGGCGGCGGGGAGCGGCTCGGCCCCAGCGCCCGGGGCCCGGCTCAGGACCACGCATGGGGTCCCTTCCCCCCCTACCACGTCCCCAGACCCGTTCGCGCTCGCTCTAGTCGCCTGACACTGGTCCTTCCGCTTCCGCCCCATCCCCGCCGGCGCGCCAGCCCCCCCCCCCCCGCCCCGCCGGGACGTGGCCCACCGAGCCCAGCGCCCCACGCCTTCCGTCACCTCTCCCCTCCCTCCCTGCCCTCTCCCGCCTCGTCTTTATTCCTGGTCTATCTAGCTCTTCCCCATCTCTCCTCCGTCGCAGCCCATCCCAACGGCATGGCTCCTCATTCTTTGCCTTCATCTCTTGTCTGTCTGTCTGTCTGTCTGTCTCCGCCGCCCTCCCTCCCATCGCCCTCTCTTCTGCTATTAATTTCCCTGATTGGCTCCCCGGCTCCGGCACACTGATGAGCCCTATTCATTCCTGGCCTGACACTCCCGGCCTGCCCTGGCTGATTGCTGGGGGCCGGCCCCGGCGCGCGGGAGCCCCCAGGGTCAGCGGCGCTAATTATCCACTAATTGCACATGACTCTGCTCAGCTCCCCGGCCTCCCCGCGCAAACCACGGGGCCTTCTCCGGCCCTCTTCTCCCCATTCTCAAGTGCCGCGGTTGTCATTCTCAAGGCGAAAGTCACAGGCGCTTTGGCCTGATGACTGCCTCAGGTCAGCGGGCAGGCAGCACTGGGGAGAGGCAAGTCAACAGAAGGGCGACCCAGCCAGCTCCGGGACACACAGCAGGCCCGCCAGCTGCAGTGTCATTTGGCCACCAGGAAACTGTTATTCAGGTTGGAGTTGAGACAGCCAGGCTGGTCAAAATGAGTGAAGAGCAAGGGAAGTGGAGGTGTGGTTCAAGTGGTAGGGTGTCAGCCTTGAGTGAAGAAAGCCGAGGGCCAGCGCCCAGGCCTGCAGTCCAAGACCCAGTACCAGCTCGCGCACTCACACACACAAGCAAAGAGCAAAGCCAGGCTCAGGTGGAAAACCAATGCCAAAGGACAGAGCACCATTTATTCCAGTGAAGAGAGTTTGTGAGCCTGGTGAAGCCAGCAGATATCAGCACCCAGGAGGCACAGAGGATGAGCAGGGCTTCAGGGGCGCTTGCTTTGGGCCTGTCTCCATTGACAGTTCATCCGAGATGAAGGGGAAAGTGTCATTTCTTTATAAGACTGACATGCCTGGCCTGTGCATGAACCTCAGGAAACTTGTGAGAAAGGAGACTGGTGCAAAGTCACCACAGAGAAAGAAGAGGAACTTTAGCTTAGGTCTGGGAACCCCCAACCCACAACGAAAGTCCAGGGTAGGTTCTTGTCTAAAGGCAATCTTTTGAACAATGCTGTGAAATTAACCAAGCCCTTCAAGGTGCTGGTATGGAAGCCCAGATTTTGCACTTAAGAAGTGAGAGGTCAAGTACTTGGTTTGATGGTTTTACAGTGTTGGATACATAACAGAGGCTTATTGACTTGATGAATTATGGAGGCAACTTTGGGCTACAATTACTGCAATTAAAGCTGTATGAGCAGCTTCTATACCAATCAAATAAGGAATGAAGAACAGCCATTTTTTTAAGTAATTGCATTTCATTTTTTGCATAGGTAATAAAAATCACATAGTAAGCCAGGCACCAGTGGCTCGTGCCTATCTTAGCTTTTCAAGAGGCTGAGATCTGAAGATTGTAGTTCGAAGCCAGCCTGGGCAGGAAAGTCCATAAGGCTCTTACCTCCAAATAGCCACCAAAAAGCCAGGTGTAGAGCTGTGGTTCAAGTGGTAGAGCACTAGCCTTGTGCCCAGCACCTAGCCCTTGAGTTCAAGCCCTAGGATCAGCACCCATTATCATATATAAAATTCCAAAAGCTCAAGAGGACATGTCCCACAACATTTCTCTCCCACAGTCCTGCTAGTAAAAGCTCACTTAAGGGCTGGGAATGTGGCTTAGTGCTAGAGTGCTTGCCTAGCATGCATGAAGCCCTGGTTTTGATTCCTCAGTACCACATACGCAGAAAAAGCCAGAAGTAGTGCTGTGGTTCAAGTGGTAGAGTGCTGATCTTGAGCAAAAAGAAGCTCAGGGACACTGCCCAGGCCCTGAGTTCAAGCCTCAGGAATGGCAAAAAAAAAAAAAAAAAAGTCACTTAAATAAGCTTGCCATTCTCTGGTGGTACAGAGTGGCTCATGAGACACCAAAGAGTTGAGGTAAGGACCCTGTGGACTTGGAGATGTATGACAACTCCCCGTGCCTGTTGCTCAGAATTCCCTTCAGAGCAGCAGCTGGCTACAAGCAAACAGGTTGACAAACTCCAGCAGGCTCCCCACTCTGAACTGCAACCAGACTTCCCAGACTGACTTCACTGGACCTAGTGTGGCTTGTGTTTGTTAGAAATTGAGCTCTATAGCTGGCTGGTTGGGTTTTTGCTTGTTTTGGTGTTGGCCCTGGGCTTGAACTCAGGGCCTGAGTGCTGCCCTTTAGCTTTTGTGCTCAAGTCTAGCATTCTATCATGGAAGTCACAGCTCTACTTCTAGCTCTAGTTAATTGGAGATAAGAGTTTTCCAGATTCTTCTGCACAAGCTGGCTTTTTAAATTTTTCCTAACCCTAACCCTAACCCACAAGCTGGCTTTTTTTCTCTCTCAAGACTGGTGCTTTACTGCTTGAACTACACCTCCACTTCTGGCTTTTTGCTTGTTAAATTGGAGATAAAGAGTCTTGGGGGAGGGGCTGGGAATGTGGCTTAGTGCTTGCCTAGTGTGCATGACCCTGGGTTTGATTCCTCAGTACCACACACACAGAAAAAGCTGGAAGAGGTACTGTGGCTCAAGTGATAGAGTGCTAGTCTTGAGCAAAAGCTCAGGGACAGTGCCCAGGCCCTGAGTTCAAGTCCCAGGACTAGCAAAAAAAAAAAAAAAAGTCAGCCGGGCGTCAGTGGCTCCCGCCTATAATCCTAGCTACTCAGGAGGCTGAGATCTGAGGATTGCGGTTCATATCCAGCCTGGGCAGGAAAGTCTGTGAGACTCTCATCTTCAATAAACCACTAGTAAACCAGAAGTAGCACTGTGGCTTATGTGGTAGAGCGCTTTCCTTGAGCTGAAGAGCAGCTGGGACAGCGCCCAAGCCCAGAATTCAAGCCCCATGACCGACCAAAAAAAAGAAAAAAAAGTCTTGGGGATGTTTTTCTGCATGACCTGGCTTCGAACCGCAGTCCTCAGATCTTAGCCTCCTGCGTAGCTAGGCCTATAGACATGAGCTACCTCGCTTACAAACTGCTTCTTACCCTCCCATCAGTACAAAGGGCAGATGTTAGTTATCATTCATAAATCTGAACAGAGCTGGCTCCATTCTTCACCCTCAGAACTGTGGTTCTCTTGCTGAATCCTGAGGAGGCCCCATTGTGGGCGAGTACCTTGTCTTGTCTGAAAAGCAGATTTAAAGGTGCTGCATTGTTTTGGCCATGTTAAACTCAGGGCCTGGGCATTGTCCCTGAACTTTTCTGCTGGTGCTTTACCACTTAGAGCCATAGCTCCACTTCCAGTTTTCTGGTGGTTAATTGGAGATAAAGAGTCTCATGGCTGTGCACCAGTGGCTCACACTTGTAATCCTAGCAGTTTAGTAGTCTGAGATTTGAGGATCACAAGTCAAAGCCAGCCAGGGCAGGAAAGTCCTCTTCAAGACTCTTATCTCCAATTAATCACAGAAAAATCCAGAAATGGTGCTGTGGCTCAAGTGGTAGAGCGCTTGCCTCGCATGCATGAGGCCCTGAGTTCTATTCCTCAGCACCACATAAGCAAAAAGAAAAAAGCTGGAAGTGGCGCTGTGGCTCAAGTGGTAGAGCTCTAGCCTTGAGCTGAAGAGCTGAGGGACAGTGCCCAGGCCCAGAGTTCAGGCCCCACGACCGGACCCCACCCCCCCCCAAAAAAAAGCTTGGATACAGCACCCAAGCCCAGAGCTCAAGTTCCAGGTACAGAGGAAAAAAAAAAAGGTCTCATGGAGTTTCCTGGCCAGGCTAGCTTTGAACCAGGATCCTCAGATCTTCAGTCTCTTGAGTAGCTAGGATTATAAGCGTGAGCCACCAGGCCTGGTTAAAGGCACCGCCTAAAGCTCCAGCAGTTTGGAAAGTGCTCCTACAGAGGAATTTTTTATCTTTATTTTTTGGCTAGTCCTGGGGCTGGAACTCAGGGCCTTGGCACCGTCCTGAACTGCTTTTGCTCAAGGCTAGCACTCTAGCACTTGAGCCACAGTGCCACTTCCGGCTTGTTCTATGTGTGTGGTGCTGAGGAATAGGAACCCAGGGCTTCATGCATGCTAGGCAAGCGCTCTACCACTGAGCCACCTTCCCAGCCCTGGAGTTTTATTTTCGATCTACCCTCTCCACTTGCACCCGCGGTGGACCCTACCATCTGGCTTCTCCTTCACGTGCTGACAACTGTATATGGGACACTAAGATGTGAGCCCACATCAACAGGTCCACCCCTCCGCCCCTCTCTTTGGCGGGAGTGCTCTTCTGCAGGGGCGGCGTCGGGCCCTGACCGCGGGGTGCCCTCTGGTGGCCGTGGGACGCAACTGCAGCTACCGCGAGGGAGGCGCGGGTTGCCGTAGCGCCCCCTGGCGTTCGCCTCAGCCGCGCTCTGCGGGCCAAGACACCCGATCGGTCGGAGCATGGAGGTGCTGTGCGGAGCGCACTGGTGGGGCGCGGGGCTGTGCGCGAGTGCGGAGGCCTCGTCTGCGTGTGGGTCGGCTTGGTTCCTATCTGCCGTGCCCGGTGCTCGAACCTGGCGCATCCGTCGTGCTCAGGGCGCGCCGTGGGCCGCGCGCTCTCCGGAGGGGAGCTGGGTGGTAGGGCAGGGCGGAGTCCTCACGGAGGCGTGAAATTGGTTTGGAGCAAACACATTACGGAAAGCAATTACCGGGGAGAGGTTCTGGGCCCGCGGGACCCTCAGCCAGGAGGCTGGCTTGCAAGTGTCTGGCTGTCTCACCCCAGACACGACTCTCCACTGTCCCCTCTCTAGGGGGCAGCACGTGAAGCTAGGCATGGCCTCCTCGGGCGCTCAGCCCAGCCCTGCCCTCCTTCCCTCCGCCCAAGGGCACCCCCCCCACGCCACTCCCCAGCTATGGGAGAAGCTCCTCCTCTCCCAGCCTTCTCCATGAGGCCTCCCCAGATCTCTGCCTCACTCCTCACCTGCCTCCCCTTCCCCTTCCTGCCCTCAGCCCTGGCTCTGTTCCTCTGCCTTCGTTCCACTGGGCCTTGTAGTCGAAGCAGCTCACGCTTGTGTTTTAGACTACATTGAAAATCCACGCAGGACGGGAACATGTCTCAACTTGGGGCTCCAGAGTAGGTGGGGTCCATTAGAACTTCCCTCAAAGTGTACACCTGGGATTCTCAAGTCCCTCCTGAGAGCCAGTGTCAGAGCCAGTGTCTGCAGTCATCTTCCGCATGCAGCCGTCCCTGCAGACTTCTTCATCCACCTGGCCTCGGAGCTCGGCCTCTTTTCCGTGCCAGTCCCCAGCTGCGCCGTCTCTTGCCTAGACCGCGGCGGCAGGCCCCCGATTCTCCATGGCCTCTCTTCTTTATGGCCACTCGCAGCAGCCCAAGGCAGCTTTTAAGACCTACAGCAGCAGCTCCCGTGGCTCTCCTGCCCTTCCCCCACTGTCTGCACAAGGCAGCCTGCCTGTCACTCAGATGTCAGTAAGTGTCACCTCCCAGGGGTTTCCCACATCACCTCACTCTCTTGCATCCATACTATGTGATCAGCACTTAGCACCCTGCGGTACTTGCGCCTGGTGGTAGGGTGCTTCACCTCCCGCCAAGCGCTAGGAGGAGTGGAGGGCAAGGCGTGGGGTCCCCTCCAGCCCTGTGCCGGTGGGGGTGTGGCTCCAACACTTGAGGCACAATACCCGAAACACCGGGACATTCTCCAGGACTCCTAACCCTATCCTGGGATCTCAAAGAGGCCGAGCAGGCCCTGTCCCTGAGTGACCATCTGATGACGGCCTATCACCTCCCCGCAACCTGGGGAAACAACTCCGGGGTTTGAACTCAGGCCTGATGCTGTCCCTGGGACTCTTTTTGCTCAAGGCTAGCCTCTACCACTTGAGCCACAGCACCAGCTCGGGCTTTTCTGTGTATGTGGTACTGAGAATCGAACCCAGGGCTTTATGCATGCTAGACAAGCCACATTCCCAGCCGGGAAACCACTTTCTGACCCTGACCTTAGCCCCGGAGTTTTCACAGCTAGCGGTTCCAACAAACTGTGGACCCTAGTGTCTGCCTAGGGGCTTCCTGCCGGCCTGCGAACTGTGCTCCCCTCACCTGAAGCCCAGACAGGCAGGTCGGTGGAGGCTCGCTTACTCCTGCCCAGTGACCCAGCGTGGTGCTCAGACACTTCCAGCAACTAACGCTTTATCCAGTCTCAGGCCTGGTCCCGCCCCGCCAAGGCCCCGCCCCCTCAGATCCCGCCTGCTGGGACCGCCCCTCCCGGCCCCGCCCCAGCCCGACTCAGGCCCCGCCCACCCAGGCCCCGCCCCTCATGCTCAGGCCCTGCCCGCCCCACAGCCTCCTTCCAGCAGTTGGCTGGGAACCGTTCTTGGATGGCAGGGGTCAGAGTGCACTTGATTGACCGCCCTGTGGTTGGGGACCAGCGCCTGCGCCCCGCGCCCCGGGCAGCAGCTTCTTCAATCCCCGTGGTGCGGTGCGGCTGCCCCCAGAGTACTTCTTTCTCTCCTTTCGTAGACGTGCAAACTTGAATCCGGCGAGGAGACACAGGTTTCGTACCCGGTAACGGTGGGGTTCAGAGCGAGAGCCCGAGTCCCGTAACCGTTCCTGACACCTTACAACCACAAGCCCGGGTTGGAGGAGCGGAGAACGGGCGCGGGGAGGCGCGGAGGCCACGCCTGTGACCTCAGCGACTCGGGAGGCGGAGGGCTGAGGGTGGGAAGCCAGCCCGGGCAGGAACGTCCATGAGATCTTCCCCAACTAATCACAGAAAGAGCCAGAAGTGAAGCTGTGGCTCAAGTAGCAGAGCACGAGCCTTGAGTGAAGCAGCCCAGGGACAGCGCCAGGCTCAGAGTTCAAGCCCCAGGCGGAGCAAAAACAAGTGGCCGGGCCCAGTGTGCACCCCGGGCCGGCTGGCCTTCCGGGCAGACAGAAGCGGCTCTGCTCCTCAGCCTGGGCCTTCCCAGCAAAGGATTCGCTTCCACACGTGCGAGCCCTGGCTTCCGGGCCGACCAACCCCGGCCGCGCCCCTCCCGGCCCCGCCCCGCCGCGCCCCGCCCCGCCCCACCGCGCCCCGCCTCGGCGCGCCCGGCCCCGCCCGACCCCGCCCCGCCCCGCCGCCCCCCCACTGCGCCCCGCCCCGGCGCGCCCCGCCCCGCCCCCACTGCGCCCCGCCGCGCTCCGCCCGGCCCCGCCCCACTGCGCCCCGCCCCGCCGCGCTCCGCCCGGCCCCGCCCCACTGCGCCCCGCCCCGCCCCGCGCCCCGGTGAGACCCCAGGCAGCTCCGCCGCGGCCTCTTCGACCTCCACCCCCGCTGCAGGGCCCCTGCACAGTGGCTCCGTCTACCTCTGCCCGGTGCCCCCCCCCCCCCCCCGGGCCTCTGCCGACAGTGCTCTCAGCTGGATGTGAGCCTGTCCTGACTCCCCTGCCAGGACAGAGCATCGGCCTGAGGAAGGCGACTGGAGACAGCACCGAGCCACACAGCCTCGAGAGCTTTAATTCACACCGGGGGCTCCAGAGAGGGGACTCTGTCTCTGTCTCTGTCTCTGTCTCTGTCTGTCTGTCTCTCTCTCACACACACACACACCCTCTGGCTGCTGATGTGTCCCCCTCTCAAGACAGCGTCCACCGCTGCCCTCCCGCTGGACCTCCGGCTGGCAGGACCTCTGCAGCGCCCCCTGCAGGCCGGGGTGTCTGCTTGCAGGCAACATCGCATCCCTGGAAGGGAACCGGAGGCTTTTTGGCTTGGGGGGCAGAAGAGTAGCTCAGGGCCGTCCCCCAGCCCTCCTGCCTCCTCCCCGACCCTCCCCGACCCTCCCCCCCCCCCTCCGCACACCCAGGGCTCACCTAGTAGAGTACGTCCTCAAACTCCAGCTGCAGGTAGCGGAGCAGGCGGGGCGGCAGGGGAAGGTGAGGCAGGGCGTGAGGCAGGCAGCCCTCCAGGTGCGAGCGCAGCGCGCAGCGGCTCAGGTGCTGCAGGGAGCGCGGCTGCCTGGCCAAGGCAAAGAGGGAGGAGTAGAAACGCCGGTGCTCCTGGGGGGCAGAAGGGCTCCAGGTGAGGGCAGCCTGGGCCCAGCGGTGCCCCTGCACCGGGGCAGGCTGGAGGGCACTGGGCGCTGCCCAGGAACATGCAGGAGTTCTGGGGTGTGAGCAAGCCTCTGGGGGGATTTCTGTGGAGGACGGGGGGGGGGGGGCTGCCCAGGAAGGGGTGCAGGTCTCCTAGGGCGGAGCTGGTTCTGACCTGCAGCGTTTCAGGAGGAATCAGCCCCAGCGCCTCCCGGGGCAGCTGCACCGAGCTGTAGGTATTCATCAGCACCTCGATGGTCCGTGGGGAAGAGCACCAGCGCTCCAGCACCTGGAGGAGGCACCGACAGCCAGAAGGAGAGGGTCTGGGTGCCCGGCAGCCCGTGGGGGGCTCAATTCTGTTTCCCTGCCCCATACACTGAGTCCTCATGCCTGGCACCCACCAACCCACAGGGCTGGCGCGGTGGAGAAGAGATCCTGCCTTCACTACTATACTTATGCTCGTCTGACCACTGGGTCTCTGCAGGGGAAATCAAGTCAAAGTGAGTCATCAAGTCCTAATCCATCCGGACAGATGTTCTTTAGAAAGACAGGCACAGATACACACAGAGAAGGTTCAGGGACAGCACTGGAGTGATGTGCCACAAGCCAAAGCAGGCCAGGTAGGCACTAGAAGCTGGAAGTGTCCCGGAACAGCACCTCCCTCCCCGTTCCCGAAAGACACCAACCTTGCCAACAGTGTCCTTTAGAAGTACAGCCCCCAGAAGTGGGAGGGAATCTGTTGCTGTGGGTTTACACCTTTCAGCTTGTAGTTCCTTATAACACCCACCGCAGGAAACTCACACACAGCTAACTTTTCTACAGTGTGCAGCTCAGGGCAGATACTTAGCATTTTTCATGCATGAGTTCTTTGTGTATGTCTGTGTGTGAGTTGGTTGGGGGCTTGAACTCAGGGCCCAGATACTGTCCTTGAGCCTCTTTGCTCAGGGCTAGTGTTCTACCACTTGAGCCACAGCAACACTTTTAGTTTTTGAGTGGTTTATTGGCGATAAGAGTCTCATGGGGACTTTTCTGCCTGTGCTAGCTTCGAACCACATCCTCAGATCTCAGTGTCCTGAGTAGTTAGGATTACAGCCCTTAGGCGCCTGGCATGCATAAACTCTTAATCTGCATTTCTAGGCAGTATGAACTATCTCTTATTGGATCTTGACAGGCATTTGTACGGGTCTCACAGCAGCTAAGTCTGGGCTCCACAGTAACACCCCTACACGTATCCCCGCCCCCAATTGCATACATTAGAAGCTTGAAAATCTCTCCCTCTGTGTGCATGCCAGTGGGTAGTGTGAACAGGTGGAAGGCCAGCCCTTGTTTGGGGCCAGGAACAAGCGTTTTTCCATGCGTGGTCCCTCTTCTCCTCTCACCCTGCCTCTTAGCAGTGCTCACTGCCTGGAGCAGGCCTCTGCCTCACTCCCCCCAGAGCTCAGAAAGAATACGGGTTTACCCAGCATGCTGCCTGCTGCTTCCTCCTTCCTCTACCCAAGAACAGCTGATCCTGTCTCACCTCCTCCAGGAAGCCCTCCTGGCTACTCCATCCTGCCTGGAGCTACAGCAGCCCACACTGGAGCTCTTCCACTCCACCTTGCCCTCTTTCATGTCTAATGAGTTCTTAGCCGGAGAGGATGCTTAACAGCTTAGCAAACACCTGTGCACACTGCTTCCAAATACTTGCAACAGGTTTAGAGCACAGTGTGTAGGTTACACCCTGGACAGGGTGTAATTATACGCCGCACGTGTCGCCTCCATTTCTCACACTAGCACTGGAGGCAGGAAGCTGTTAGTTCTCTGGTGAGGAGACAGGCTGGGAGCGTGCCTGCTGGGAGTTACCCGGCGTACCTGCACTCTGCCCCCTCTCCCTCTACCACCACGCCCCCTCCGAGGCAGCCAGAGGAGGAAGGGGAACATGGGGTACAAAGCGTTCCAGTAACTTGTTTATAGTCACATGAGTAAGTGTCAAAGCCAGACCTCAATCCAGCTCTTGCATGCCCTCTCTTCCCCTCCCCCCCCTTGCTAGTAGGGGGGCTTGAACTGAGAATCTGGTCCACCGTCCCTCAGTTATTTGGCTCAAGGCTGGTGCTCTACCAATTGAGCCATAGCTCCATTTCTAGCTTTTTGCTGCTTAATTGGAGATAAGTCTCATAGACTTTCCTGCCTGGGCTGGCTTTGAACTTTGATCCTCAGATTTCAGCCTCCAGGTGTGAGTCAATTGTGGCTCTCCAGGTCTCTTGAGTGCCGGATGCAGTCTGGTGGCTCCTGGTGCCTGGCAGAGCTGACTGTCCCACAGACGGGGCTCAGAGCCCTCCCTGCAGGGACGCCAGCCCGGACGGGAGGGGCTGCAGATTGTGGAGTGGGGACAACTGGGCCCCTCTGCTCGGCAGGCGGAGGGGCGGGGCGGACAGCAGGGCGGGGCGGGGCTGGAGGGCCGGTGTCATTTGCTGTGCCAAGTCCTCCTCGGCCCCGCCTGGTGGGGAAATCATTAGCTGTCAGAGCTGCCGTCAGATTACAGGGAATTGCTCGTCTCCTAATTATCTGGTGTTAATAGGAGATTAATTAGTGTTAATTGTTGATTTTCTTGTATTTTCCCAAAGGGGAGACCAATCTGCCGAACTCTCGGGCTGTTTAATTATTTGGTCTTGCTTAGGAATCTAGACAGATGCTTCTAGGTTTGTGGGCTAAGGGGAGGACAAAGACAGCGGCGTGGGCCCTGGAGGGGCAAGGCTGGGCTGGAGGGGACCTGTCCTCACCTGCACACTCCCAGAAGGCCAACCATGCTGATCCCTCCCCTCTGAGAAGAGACCCCTCTTCCCCGCATCCCCCACCACCCAGAGGCCTCCATGATGCCCCTTCTAGGCCCACCCATGCCACAGAGCACCCTAGCCCAGCTCCTCATGTTGAACTCGCTTTAGGGAAATTTTAGATCAAATCTGAAAAATACCCATGGAAGGTGTTTTCCCAGGCCGGGCAGGGCCCGTGCCTGTGAGGGGAAGCACCTGCCAGCGCTCAGAAAGCAGGGCTGCTCTCCCACCACCACTTAAGGACCCCCGAGCATGGGGGAGCAGGCTCACCTTCTGTCCCTGGGGAGCCTTGCACCTGTCCCCCCGTGGCCTCCACTCAGCTGACCCCGCTGCTAGACAGCTCCTCAAATGCTTTTTTTTGGGGGGGGGGGGTTAGTCATGGGGCTTGGACTCTGGGCCTGAGCGCTGTCCCTCAGCTTTTCGGCTCAAGGCGAGTGCTCTACCACTTGAGCCACAGCACCATTTCTGGTTTTCTGAGTGGTTTATTAGAGATAGGAGTCTCTCAGACTTTCCTGCCTGGGCTGGTTTTGAACCGCGATCCTCAGGTCTTAGCCTCCTGAGCAGCTAGGATTACAGGCATGAGCTACAGGTGCTGGCTTCTCAAATGCTTTCTCTTCTTTTTCCTTGTGCCAGTTCCTGGGGCTTGAACTCAGGGGCTGGGTGCTTCCCTTGAGTTTTTTTTGCTCAAGGGTAGCTAGCAATCTAACACTTGAGCCACAACCACAATCAAATGGTAATTAATTGGAGATAAGAGTCTCCTGGACTTTCCTGCCCAAGCTCGCTTCTAACTCCAGTCCTCAGAGGTCAGCCTCCAGAGTAGCCAGGATGACAGGTGTGGGCCACCGTGTCCCATTCTTTACCTCTATCTGGCTTTTGCTCACTGACTATAGAAAGGCAAGAAGAATTGGTCTATGTAACCACATGTCCCAGGACTGCGTTGCTGAGAGAGCCCAAGCACCGGCCGAGGCCCATCCCCTCACCCTAGCGGTCCTGCCCGCGCCCCCCCCCCCCCAGTGCCCGTACCTTGGGGAGGGCCCCGGGCCACACCCTGACGGCGCCGTGGTTGAGCAGAGCTCGCACCATGTGCTCAGGGCTCTGGGCCAGGGCGGCCGCTGGGCCCTGCAGGGCACAGTGCAGGGCGGTGTGTCCTCCATAGTCCATGGCGTTGGCACTGACACCGTGGGACAGGAGCAACTCCACAACGGCCGAATGGCCCCGGCGGCAGGCCAGGTGCAGGGGCCTCAGCTTGTCCTGGTCGGCAGCATCTGCGTCGGCGCCAGCGGAGAGCAGCAAGCTGCACAGCTGGAAGCAGCGCGCGGCGCTGGCCTCGGCCTCGGCGGGGGACTGGCCGCGGGCGTCGCAGGCAGCCAGCAGCGGCGTCCAGCCCTCGGCATTGCGGGCATCGGGACACGCACCCCGTCTCAGAAGCAGGGCCGCCATTTCCACATGGCCAAGCCGTGCGGCCACATGCAGGGCTGTCTCTTTTTCATCCTCAGTCTGCCCATTCACTCGCGCCCCAAACTTCAAGAGCAGCTCCACGCACCTAGACAGGGGAGACGGTGGGGGAAGGAGAGTGGGCATGAACCCTGGCACTCCTGAGCACAGCAAACGTGGCAGGGGGCTCTGGGTGGCCTCTGCTTTGCAGCCCTCGCCTACCTTTCCTGCCAGCCGCTGCCCTCCAAGCCACATTCTGCAAGATCGGTAGTCCTTTTTCCTCTTTTCTTTTTTAGAGATAGGATATTACTGTGTTGCCTAGACTGGTCTTGAACTCTTAGACTCAAGGGATCCTCTTGCCTCAATCTCCAGAGTGTTGGGACTATAGGTATCGGCTACCATGTGCCCCCCCCCCCCCCCCGCCGCCGTCCCGTGGCCTTTGTAATACCCACCTACTAGCTAGGTGCCAGTGGCTCACACCTATAATCCTAGCTACTCAGGAGGCTGAGATCTGAGGACTGAGGTAGGAAGCCAGCTCAGGAAAACTAGTCCAAGAGACTCTTATCTCCAATTACCAGCAAAAAGCCAAAAGTGCAGTTCTGGCTCAAATGGTAGAGCAACTAACTGCTTTGAGTGAAAAAGCTAAGCCAGAAGAAGATGAGACCCTTAGTTCAAGTCCTACTACCAGCGCAAGCGCATGCGCATGCACACGCACACACTCACACTTCCTGCAGGGACCATCCACTGACTCCCCATGGGGTTAAAGTCACACGGACCATCTTCCCCTACTGCTGCAGCATGGCTGAGAACGCTCACATCACACAGCCCCCAGGCTCCAAGGGCGCATGGAGCTGGCATTTGGGGTCAGGGGCAGCTGGGTAGTTTGAAAGTTTTGTGTGCCGAGTTTTGTGGAGAACTTACCAGCAGGCACAAATGCAGATGGGACCATAGGACAAGGAAGGAAAAAACCAAAATTAACCCATAGACTGGCTCCAAGATGGCCCTGGGGACAGACAGGAGTTAGGAATCTCCTCTGTGAGCCGGGTTCTTTATATGTCGAATGAGAGTAATTAATAAAAGCTGGGCTGGGTGCCGGTGGCTCACACCTGTCATCTCAGCCACTCAGGAGGTGAGATCTGAGGATTGAGGTTCAAAGCCAGCCTGGGCAGGAACGTCCAAGAGACTCTTATCTCCAATTAACCACCGGAAAACCGGAAGTGGTGCTGTGGGTCAAGTGGTAGAGAGCTTGCCTTTGGCTGAAGAGCTCAGGGACAATGCCTAAGCCCTGAGTTCAAGCCCCACAACTGACAACAACAATAACAAAAAATAGCTGGGCCTGATGGTGGTTGTGAGCACGTATGAGATCACATCTGAGCAATCATCATTTGAACTCAACAGGACTGCCTTTGGGGAGTGAAGTGGGCGGTTTGGATGGGTCAAAGGGCTCATTTTATATCCAAGCTACCGTTCTGTATGTTTGGAATGTTCTACAAGATGTTTAAATACACATATCTTTACTCAAGAAAGGCCTGGGCTGAGCAATGGCCCAAGCTAAAGATGTGGTCTTATGTGGAGCCATGGTACTGTCCAAGATGGTGGCCTCTGGCCATGTGGGTGAGTGCCGCAGCCTGGCCAGTCTCAGTGGACATCTGTAGAAGCTACGTGCACACTGGTGCTCAAAAAAGAAAATTATTTCCTAATCATTGTTTCGGTGGTATTGGAGTTTGAACCCAGGGCCTCCCGCTTGCTCAACTTCCTTGCTTATGACTTTTATGTTTTTTGTACTGGGGTTGAACTTAGGGCCTCCGGCTCCCACTCAGAAGCTTTGTCACTCAGAGTTAGTGCTCTACCTTGAGCCACGCCCCACTTCCGCTGTTTGCTGATTAATGGAGATAGGCGTCTCATGGCTTTTCCACCCATGATCTTCACATCCCAGCCTTCGGAGTAGCTGGGGTTACAGGTGCAAGGGCTTAAGGAATCTGATGGCCTTTCTCGCTAGTGGGCAGGAAGTTGGTGCCCACCAATAAGACAAAAAAAAAAGAGAAAAGCCTCTGGAGTGGATCAACTCTAGGCTCCAACTTGTTATGAAAAGTGAAAGGTAGGGCTGGGAAGGTGGCTCAGTGGTAGAGCGCTTGCCTTGCATGCTCGAGGCCCTGGGTTCAATTCCTCAGCACCACATAAGCAAAAAGAAAAAAGCCAGAAGTAGCGCTGTGGCTCAAGTGGTAGAGCATAGCCTTGAGCTGAAGAGCTGAGGGTCAGTGCCCAGGCCCAGAGTTCAGGCTTCACAACTAGAACCCCCCCCCCCAAAAAAAAGTGAAAAGTACATGCTGGGGTTCAAGCACTCCGAAGATGCAGGGGAAGGGCAATTGATCAGCCTCGCCAACAACTGCCCAGCCTTGAGGAAATCTGAAATGGAATACTTTACTATGCTGGCCAAAACGGGGGTCCATCATGCCAGCGGCAGCAACACTGAACTGGGCACAGCACATGGGAATAACTACAGAGTGCACACGGGCTATCACCGATCCAGGCATTCCGCTGTCACTAGAAACATGCCAGAACAAACTGAGAAAAGTAAACAGTGCATAATTTTTCTTCAATAAAACTTGTCAGAGCTGGCTTAAAAACAAAAACAAAGAGATCTGATGGAGCCAGGTGCTTTCCCGCCTAGAATCGCAGCTACTCAGGAGACTGAGATCTAAGGCCCGTAGTTTAAAGCCAGTCAAGGCAGGAAAGTCTGTGAGACTCTTTTTTTTTTTTTTTGGTCGGTCGTGGGGCTTGAACTCTGGGCCTGGTCGTTGTGTGAGACTCTTATCTCCAGTAAACTACTTCCTTCACACACAAAAAAATGGGCCTTTGGCTCAAGTGGAAGAATGCTAATCTACCACTCTCTCAGGAAGAACACCCAGGTCTTTTGTTCAAGCCTCTGGACAAAGGAAGAAAAGGAAAGGAAAGAAAAGGAAAGAAAAAGGAAAGGAAAGGAAAGACAAAGGAAGGGAAGGGAAGGGAAGGGAAGGGAAGGGAAGGGAAGGGAAGGGAAGGGAAGGGGAAAGGGAAAGGGAAAGGGGGCATGTCTTAGCTGGGGAGCACCTGCCTAGCAAATGAAGGAGGATCAAGGTCGAGGCCAGTGCAGGCAAAAAGTATGACCTTATTTGAAAAATAAAAGCAAAAAAGGGGGGAAAATATGGATTAGGCATGGCTTAGTGGTAGAGCAAACTGTCTAACAAGTGTAAGGCCCCGGGTTCAAATCCCAGCACTCCCAAAACCACCACCAAACCAATATTCACTGTAATATGGCTTCTCCAAAGGGTTAGTACAATTTTCCCAGGGCAGGCTACAAAGGCTGGGAAGGTGGCTCAGCGATAGAGTGCTTGCCTTGTATGCCTGAGGCCCTGGGTTCAATTTCTCAGTATCATATACACCGAAAAGGCCAGAAATGGTGCTGTGGCTCAAGTGGTAGAGCTCTCGCCTTGAGCTGAAGAGCTGAGGGACAGCGCCCAGGCCCAGAGTTCATGCCCCATGACAGCAAAAAAAAAAAAAAAGAAAAGAAAAGAAAAGAAAAGAAGCTAGGCCCCTGACACAGCCCTCTACCATCCTAAATCCAGGCCATTGCAGAGTTCACACGGATCAATGGTTGGGGAATCATTTGGGGAATAACTATGTCCCAACCTGCCCACATCCTCCCTGAGCCCCTGACTGTCCCTAGGGTCCGAGGTACTTACTCAAGGCTGCCAGCCCCTCGGCAGAGATGCAAGGGGCGTTTTCCTTCCTGGTCCGGTGCATTGGGGTCTGCTCCGGCCACCAGCAGCACATGGACACAGGCCGGGTGGCCCGCAGCGCAGGCCTCGTGCAGGGCGGTGCGGCCCCCGGGGGCGCTGTCCGGTCTGGCCCTCCGTCTGAGCAGCAATCGCAGGACATCGGTGTAGCCTCGGCTGGCCGCCACATGAAGTGGGGTGGTCAGTTCCTCCTCGTAGGTCAGAGACCAGAGCCCTGGGGGAAAGAGGGACAGGGCCTCAGATCTCAAGGGATGGCCTGCAGCTGCCCGAGGGCGGGAGGGAAGACAAGGACTGAGCTGAGTCTGCAGCCGCCCCTCTCCCACCCCCTGCACCCTGGGCCCATACTCAGAGCTCGGATGTTGAATCGGAAGTCCCTCCATCGCTCTGGATCGCTGGTGTCAAAGACAGAGTCGGGAGCCAGGCCAGCACTGGAGTCGGCGAGGATGCGGGCGATGGAGCCCACGTCCCCTGCCAGCACCGCCTGCCAGAGCGTGAGGGCGGGGCCTGCGGCTGTGCGCACCGCGATGGGGCCGGGGCCCGACCCGGGGGGCTCCTCAGACCCTCCGCTGGACTCCACCAGCCTGGCACAGAGGCTGTGTCTGTTGCCATGGGGCTCCCCCTGCCCCCCGCACTCTTCTGGGTACCCGCTCATGAGCACGGGGGGAGGGGGGAGGGCGCGAAGGCCACAGGCAGAGAAGGGCAGGAGAAGGGACACTCCGAGGGCCTGGCGTCCCTGAGCTGGCCACGCGGCCCGGCAGAGGCTATTCTGGGCTCCACATGACTTCTTCCCTAGGCCAAGATGAACGCTGTCCAAGTGTTCGGGGTGTGGGAAGCATCAGCCAGGGGTTTCTTTTTTCAAGCCTTGGGAACTCAGCCTGGGACAGTCACCTCTGCCTCAGTTTCCCCCCCCCCCCACATGCTGCCCCTCACCCCTCTGGTGGCTGCTCCAGCGAGGCTCTGCTGTACGGCTCTCCAGCAACAGGTCAGCTGTGCTGTGGGGCGGGAAGAGCTCCTGCAGCCTGGCCAGGTCCCCTGTGTAGAGGGCATTCTGCAGCGCCATGTCGCGGCACGGCAGCGGCGGAGACCGACAGGCTGCCTGGGCTGGGCAGGACTGGACCCCCCAGACGTGGCAGGCAGAGACCGAAGGAAGGCACCCCAGAGGGTGGCCCCCATGGGCCATGGCCTTCCCTACATTCCTTCCCTTAGGCATGGCGGCTTCTGGGAGACAGCCAGCGCAGCCGGCAAGGCTGCAGGTGGACTGGGCAGGCAGAGCTGGCCAGGAGAGGCCAGTCTGGGAGGGGCAGGGGAAGCTTTAAATAACCCCTGGCGGCAGTCAGTTCCCATATGAAACTCCCAGGCCAGGAGGAGGCCAGGTAGAAGCACGGAGAGCCACGCAACCCCATGCTTCACCTCCAGGCCAGGTGATGTCAAAGTGGACACTGTCTCTGGTCCTCAGGTCTGACACAGGCCATCATAACCCAGAGAAGGGATGGGATTTTCCCAAGGACACACAGGACGGCTGGGAAGGTGGCTCAGTGGTAGAGTGCTGGCCTCACATGCATGGAGCCCCAGGTTCAATTCCTGGGGAAGTGGCGCTGTGGCTCAGGTGGTAGAGCGATAGCCTTGAGCACAGAGAGGTTCAGGGACAGTGCCCAGGCTCTGAGTTCAAGCCCCAGGACTGGCAAAAAAAAAAAGTCTGTCCTTGAGTCCTGCACCTTCACTGACTCAGTACTGAACCAGGCAGTGAGCCGCGGCCCGGCACCCATTGCAAGCTGTCCTTAGGGGTTTTCTGGAAAACAGATGTCTGCCCAAGGGAGCAGGGTTCCACCCACAGGCTGCAGGAGCCATGCCTGCCCGTCCCAGGGGCCCTGTTCCCCCATCTGCCAGGTGACATCTCTGCCCTCTATGGCAGGCCAGGGTCTAAGCTGGAGGAGGGGAGAGGAGGAAGCCCTATCCAGTGAGGTCCATTAGAAGGAGGAAGCTGCTTTTGTTCAAGGGCAATAGGAGGCAAAATGAGAAGAAAGCATATGCTTTGGGGTTTTTTTGTTGTTGTTGTTTTGTTGGTCGTGGGGCCTAAACTCTGGGCCTGGGTGCTGTCCCTCAGCTCTTCAGCTCAATGTGAGCGCTCTACTACGTGAGCCATGGCACCACTTCTGGCTTTTTCTGCTTATGTGGTGCTGAGCAATCGAACCCGGGGCCTCATGCGTGCAAGGCAAGCGCTCTGCCACTGAGCCACCTTCCCAGCCCAGATCTAGGATTACAGGTGTGACCATCTGCCTCTGTAGATACAAAAGCTAGCAGAAGCCGATCCCAAGCAGGAAGGGTCTTAGAGGTCACTCAGCTTTCCTTACAAGTAAGGAAAGTGAGGCATAGGGCCAGGAGAGTATGGTCCGGGTCACACCGGGAGCCAGCACCATGGGGTTCCACGCAGGGCCAGTTATTTGTAGACTTGCCTTTCTCTTTCCCTTACTGTCTCTCCTCTCTCTCTCTTATTTTCCCTCTTTTAGTTTGTGGAGAAGCAAGTGAGGTGGAGAGCCTACAAAGAAAGTGCCTAGGAGATGGCGTGTAGGGGGATGGGGAAGTTTGAGTGAGAGGAGTAAGGAGTGCGGGAAGGTGGCATGAGGCAGGCAGCACAGAGAGGGACAGAGGATGCACAGGTGGGCAGATGAGACGGCTCGTCTTGTGTTTATGCCCCTGCCGCTCCCCTTCAGACTGGAGGCCCCAGGGGCATCCGCAGGTCTCAGCTTTCAGCCTTTTTCTTCTTCTCCTTTGCCAGCCTGGCCTCCTCAGCCTCCTGGGCCTTTAAAAATTGTATATACTTTCTGCCCAGCGGAGTCTTGAAGTACCAGTCCTGGAATGGCAGGGGAGAAGGGTGGACCCAAGAACCCTTACCTTTGGCTCTCTTCCACCTTCTCCCCTCTTTCTGGGATTCTTTTTCCCTCTGTAGGCATGTGTCCTGTCAGAGCTGGGGTTTCCCACAGGGCCAGCCATTCTTGGGGAACCCGGCCCCATTCACCCCCCCCTCCAGTCCTCTCTTCTAAGGCCAGCCTGACACACAGGGGATGGGCACCACTCAAGGGGGCTAATGTGTGTAGTGAGCTGGTCCCACAGGCCCCTCACAGGCAGGTGGCCCGCCCTGCCCCTCCCTTAGCCCGTTTGCCAGTTCCCTGTTCAAATCCAAGTCCCTTTACACTGGCTGTCTTCTGACATGGAAGCAAAGCATGCATTACAGGATTGACTTGTGGCTGGCACTGCTGCCACCCAGTCCCCTGCCTGCCTGGCAGCCTTACCTTCAAAGTTTCCTCCTCTTCTTTGTACACGGGGTCCAGCTTCGCCAGCTGTTCCACGAACTCAGAGGCCATCAGGGACCGTTTAGACACTTGTAGGAGCCGACGGTCAGTTAGCACAGTCTGGATCACTTGTAAGATGTGACGGGGGGTGTAGCCATCGGACACCCTGGCCAGCCCACTGATGTCCAGGCTCTGGGTGACCCGTGCGCCCTGGGCCTGGATCATGTGCTTCCACAGCACTGCGGCCAGGGAGAGGAACAGGGCAGAGAGGGCAGCAGGGAGCAGGGTCAGGTCAGAGGCCCACAACCTCCTGGCTGCCAGTGTGTGAAGGAACCTGGTTCCTTGGGGAGCAGCTCCTCTCCCGAGGAAGGCCTGGGGAGGGGTCCTAGCTGAGCCCCAGAAAATGGAGATCCAAAGGATGGAAAGTGGCCAGTGTGTGTCCGTAAAGCTGAGGTTGGACCCAGAGAACTGGGATGTGTGTGGCCCTTCTGTGTCTGTCACCTTGCCCAAGGCAGAATGGGGGCTGGGAAGAGGCTGGGAGGGTTTTTTGTTGGGGGGGGAGTGGCGCAGTGGTCCCTGGACTCCATCTCTGCCCTCACCATAACGAGATGCATAATCAGGCCGCGGGATGAAGAGGATCCGCTCGTAGGCCCGACACAGCCCCTTCATGTCTGCCAGGTATGGCTGTTCCGTCGTCCCTATGAGCAGCACTCGGTCCCCTGGGCCCAGCAGTCGCAGAGCCTTGGTGAGGTCCTTCTTTATTCGCTTTGGTTCCATCTGCTCCAGAGAGGAGAAGGTGAAGGGTCAGGACACTGAGCCTATGGGCCCCCCATGTTCACAGAGCACATGGCCCAGTCTCAGCCTCCTGTCGGCCCTGACAAAGTGAGAAGAGGCTGTCCATACTGTTTTGAAACAGGAACTGGGTCTAGTCCTTCTTTCCTTTTTTGGGGGGATGGGGGTGGGGATTGGTCATGGGCTTGAACTCAGTGCCTGGGCACTGTCCCTGAGCTCTTTTGTTCTACCACTTTGAGGACAGCTTCACTTCCAGTTTGGAGGTAAGAATGTCACAGCCTTTTCTGCCTGGGCTGGCTTTGAACTATGATCCTCAGATTTCAGCCACCTGAGTAGCTAGGATTACAGACATGAGCCACCAGTGCCCAGCTTCCTTCCTTTTTCTTTTTTCCCTTGCTTCCTTCCTTCCTTCCTTCCTTTTTTTTATGTCTCTCTTTTTGCGGGGGCTTGAACCCAAGGCCTCATGCTCCCTTTGTGAGCTTTTTCTGCTCAAGGTTGACTCTGTACCACTTGAGTCACATCTCTACTTTCACTTTTTGGTAGTTAATTGGAGCTAAGAGTCTCACAATTTGTGTGCGTGTGCCAGTCCTGGGGCTTAACCTCGGGGCCTGGGCATTGTCCCTGAGCTTCGTTTTCCTCAAGGCTAGCACTCTACCACTTGAGCCACAGCACCACTTGTGGGGTTTTTTGTTTATGTGGTACTGAGGAATTGAACCTAGGACTTCATGCATGTTAGGCAAGCACTACCACTAAGCCATATTCCCAGCCCTAGAATCTCACAAATTTGTCTTCCCCGGCTGGCTTCGAACTGCAATCCTCAGATCTCAGCCTTCTATGTAGCTGGGATTACAGATTACTGGTGCCCAATTTGAGAGACTCATTCAAAACCTCAGCCCCTGGCTCTGGCTGCCTGTCCACACTCTCACCTTTATCTCTTCCTTTGGGATCCTCTTATAGAAAGTCTTCTCTGCCTGTCCAATCCAGATCACAGAGGGCTGTAGGAGCCGGGCCACCTGGAGGGGTCAGAGGGTACAAATCAGATATCGACCTCTGGGTCAAAGGTCATGACCCTACTAGGTCAGCCCCTAGGTTCAGGGTTGTCCTTGGAGCTGTAGCTGCAACGCCCCCTACCGTCCCAGACCTTCAGTCACCATCCTCCGGGGGAGGGGTTGCATAGAAAGCCTCAGTCTCCCCCCCTCCACCTTCCCCAGCTCAGGGTCCTGGAAGGGGTTGGTAGGGAGATCTCACTAGTTCCAGTTCTGAAATCTCACCAAGTGACCCCCATGCATACAGGCCCACCCCCCACTCCGTCTGATGTCACAAGCGGAGGAGGTAGAGCCTCAGCGCCCAGGGCTCCAGACCTTGAAAACCAGGTGCACTATCATCTGTGAGCCATTCTTGCCAGGGTATTTGCCTATCAGGTTGTTAGGTGACAGGTCGAACAGGTTGGCACCGGTTTCCGTACACACAGCCTGAACCAACATCTTCTTCCCCATGCCGGAGGGGCCCACCAGGAGGAGAGAGCGGATAAGGGGGGCCATGGAGTGTATCTCTGGGGAGCCTGCAAGGAAGCCAAGAGAGGCAGAGGCAGGCGATGGGCCAGCAGCGGGCGGGCTACAGGCTGGGGAAGACTAGGAGAAGTGAGGCCCAGGCCTGGGGCTGGGAAGTGAGGTGGAGCTGCATGGGGAGGGATGGTCTGGGCCCTGCTGCTCCCAGCCCCACCTGAGCAGCTCGCCCAGGCCTGCAGCCAGGGTGGAGGCTGTAGGATTCCCAGTGGCTCAGCAGCTTCCGTGGAAGGGAACTGTGCGTGGGTCAGGAGGGAGCTCACCACCCTTTCCCAGTGCCTGGCTCTTTTCCTTGCCATCTGCTTCAAAAGGCAGGTGATATGGCTAACTCAGGAGACTGAGATCTGAGGCTCATGGTTCAAAGCCAGCCCAGGCAGGACAGTCCATGAGATTCTTACCTCCATTGAACCACCAGAAAATGGCAAGTGGAACTGTGGCTCAAAGAGGAAAAGCATTAGCTTTGAGCAAAAGAGGTCAGGGAGGGGAAACAAAGGAGGAGGCAACAATGCTTGATAAGAAATGTACTCATGGGCTGGGAAGATGGCTCAGTGCTAGAGTGCTTGCCTTGCATGCAAGAGGCCCTGGGTTCGATTCCTCAGCACCACATAAGCAAAAAGAAAAAAGCCGGAAGTGGCACTGTGGCTCAAGTGGTAGAGCGCTAGCCTTGAGCTGAAGAGCTGAGGGACAGTGCCCAGGCCCAGAGTTCAGGCCCCATGACTGGACCCCCCACCCCCCAAAAAAAATAATGTACTCATTATCTTGGTATTTTCACAATAAAATAAATAAATAAATAAAATACAAGGGAGAGAGAAAAAAAAAAAAAGAGCTCAGGGACAGTGCCCAGGCCCAGAGGTCAAGCCCCATGACTGACCAAAAAAAAAAAAAAATCTTCTCTTAAAAAAAAAAAAAAAAGGCAGGTGACAAAGTGCTTCAG